TTTGGGTTACACATTCAAATCAAAGTTGTTGCTCCTTGGGTTGTGAATAAAGCTCAATGTTGACAAATAATTCATGTTCCACTTGTTTTCCTACTTGTTTGGTGTGGGCTCCGAAAATTCGCCCCTGCTTCTCCCTGGTTCCCTTTCTTTCTTTTCGTTTATCAGGAAGAGTTTTAAAAAGTATGTTCCGAGGTAAATTTTCAAAAGACAGGTTGGATTTGAAATAAGACACCACTCAGATATTTCGCTCTCATTTTGCGAGGACTTTATAATTTGAGTTATGGTTTCTTATAGGCCCAATCCTCTATAGTTAATCACCCCTCCCGAAAACGAGAGAGAACTTTCGATTAAGGCTGCTCGTCAAATATATATGTAGAGATACATGATATATGATGTATAGTAGCAGCATGATTTGGTATGTGAGAATTTAGTATTTAAAATTAAAATTTTCAATGTCTTTTTCTTGAAGCGGATGGTGGGGAGAGTGATGATAGACCCTATCAAGATCCCGTGGTTCAGAAGGAGGTAGTCAAACCAACCTGACATAAGGATTCTTGTCGGCATCCATGAGTTGCTTCGTTCAAGAGTATCATATAGACCTTGGGGTGGGGGGATATTTGTCTAAGGGGATAAAAGAACTGACTCCACCTTAGCTAATAGAGGGCTTTGTTCCCTATCAATTATATCCTATTGATTCACATCTTAAGGAAAGATATTGTCTATTGCATGGGAGGGAGGGAGGGAGGGAGGGAGAGAGAGAGAGAGAGAGAGAGAGAGAGAGAGAGAGAGAGAGAGAGAGATGAATATGATATTAGGCAACTGCATCATGGATGGATGAGAATTCTCTTTTCATTCAGCCGATGCAGTGCCACCCATCAAATGTTCCTTATTATTTATGATGAGGTCTCCTAACTGAATATGATGGTTGTGATTGGGCTACTCAGTTTGCAAACAGAAAATATGTTGTTCACATTTACACCATTTCTATGGAATTGTCTACCTTCCTGGTAGTTGCATGTTGAGTCTCTTCTGTGTTTAGGTAGCAAATTCACGCTGGTTTCTCTCATAAAAATTGCCTACAAATCATTGTAATAGTTTTTCAATGGTCCTTAGAACCTAGATTTTTTTTTTTGTTTTGTTTTTTCATCGAGGAGGCAATGATGATCAGTTTCCTTTTTATGCATACCTGAAAAAGATGCAATGTTCATGATAGGCTTAATATTGAGCATTACACGCAAGATTGTGGAAGTATGCTGGATTGTATTCACTTGGAATAGGCGGCAAGCTGTGCTATTGTGTAATTGGGGGTTGTAAGATATTCAATTGTGTAAAATTTCTTTGAGTTGCCCATATCTAATTGTATTTTTCTGTAGGGTCGTATGTTTGCTATCTTTTTTCATGCAGATGCTGCCATTGTAGGGATTGGATACATTTGTTGATTGCAAACTCTGTTCCTATCAAGAAATCTTGCTGAAATTTGGGTTACACATTCAAATCGAAGTTGTTGCTCCTAGGGTTGTGAATGTAGCTTGATGTTGGCAAATAGTTCATGTTCCACTTGTTTACCTACTTGTTTGGTTGGTTTGATATGAAACAACTTAGTCGAACAAGGCTAAACTTGCTCAAGCTTGGCTTTTTTGCACTCCTAGTTGCTCAAGTTATTTGTTTGTAATTATCCTTGTACGAATTATATCGTATTTTTTTGGTATTCTTCCTTTGTTGATTTTCAGGATATTATGGCTAGCATCCTGGGTTTTCATTATCATTTTGTTTGATTTGTGGTGATGTATCAATCCTCCATTTTGACATTTAGAGAGATAGGTGGTATGTAAAGCCCCCTTATTTCATTTTTTGCCTTAGCCTGGCTACAAGTTTGTACAGTGTGCAGTGTGTTTGGTATCGGATTTGCAGTGGGATTTAAGTCGGATTTACGCTAAATCCAGCCAAACGGTTTTTATGCGCTCGGTTCGGCGGATTTATGGGATTTGGCTGAAGAAGTGCGCGAAAGAGCCAGCGAGCTCCTGTTGTTGTTTCCGATCAAAATGTCGTAACTTATGATCCAACGGGAAGGGAAAGTTGTCAAAGAAGCGAAGTCCAACAGCCATGAAGTAGCCTAAGAAGTGACGCGTGCAATCTCTACACCGCCTGCAATCTCTACACCAAACAACAATGACGAAAATATAAGATGAAAGGCAAACCCTAGACGCGTCTAAGTTATTATTCCTCTTGGATCCAAAATATCGTTTGTTGGGCTTGCTCTACTCTCACGGTTGGCTTAAACTCTGGAATGATATGAAATTGTGGCTTTGTTGGGCTTGTCTAGTCACAGAGGGTAACTGCCGCATGGATGGCCAGGGGATCCTCTCCTCGGGCAACCGATGCAGTGTGCCACCCATCCATTGTTTATGCCATTATTCTAGATAAGACATTTTAATTGAATTTGATAGTAGGGATTTGGCTTCTCAGTTTGCAAAGAGCAAATGTTTTGTTCTCATTCAAACCATTTCAAAAGGTTGTCTATAGTGTAGTTGCATGAATAGTCTCTCGTTGGTGCTTCATTAGTGAATTCATATTTGGATACATAATTACGGGCAAATCTTTGAAAAATAAAATATTTCAATTCCTGATTTTTGTCACTTGCACTGAAAGTACTTGTTGATATAGCTGTATGTTACCGATTGGGCAATGCTGTTTATGTTGCTTGGTACTTAGAAGTAGATTGAATTTATTTATTTATTTATTTATTTTTCAAGGAAGAGACAATGATGATCAGTTTCCTTTTTGTAAACCTAAAAAAAGTTCAAAAATTTGCAGGATGGGCCTGGCATTGAGCATCACATGCAAGATTGGGTAAGTATTCTTGATTATCTTCACTTGGAATAGGTTGCAACTTGTGATTAGTGCACACTGCACTTGGGGGGATTTGGGATTGTCGGATTGGATAAGATCTTTGAGACACTCATGGCTTATTGTCTTTTGTTGTTGGGTGGCATGTTATGCGTCTTCTTATCATGCAGATGCGACCATTGTGAGGATTAAATATATTTGTTGGATTGTAAATCCTTTTGATATCAAGCGATCATACTGAATTTTGGGCTTGCAGTTGAAAATGCACATTTTAATTCCGATTGGTTGCTCCTGTTGTTGTCAACATTATTTGTTGTTTGCAAAGAGTTTATGTTCCTCTACTTTCCTGCTCAAGTTTAATAGGGAATGAACTTACCTAAACATGGCTACAACTTGCTCAAGCTTAGCTCATTTACACCTAGTTGCTCAGTTGTATTATTTATTAGTAATCTTTGTCCCAGTTATTTTGGGTTGTCAGTGAATCATATCATTATTCCAAGAGATAGGAGTAGCAAGGATTTAGTTCAAGTGAGGTGTATTAAGGATGAAGATAAAAAAAAATACTTTTTGTTGCGTCCTGGAGTATTCACAGCGGTAGAGAAATATATAGCTTAACGTCTTAGTATTGTATGAAGATCCAGGACACAATTAGATAAGTGAGACGGTGTAGCATTCAAAAGAGACACCAGAGTTTTTACGTGGAAACCCCTAAAAAGGGGGAAAAACCACGGGGCCTGGCCCAGTTTGAAGGAATCCACTAGTATTTGCAGTTGATTACAAATGAGGTCCTTAGGGAGAAGGCCTTGGCTTGATGTTACAAATGTACGTCATATAGAGCATATTACATGATGGGAGTTACAATAATCAACATAAACATATTTATTTGGTTGGAAGATCGGTGCTGGAGGTTGGAAGGACCATAGTCGGCAAGAGACAAAGGTCAGAAAGACCGTTGTCTGGCGATATAGGTCGGAAAGATCGTAGTCAGCAGGAGACTGGGGTCAGAAAGATCGTTGTCTCGTGATGGAGTTCGGAAGGACCATTGTAGGCGACGGAGGTCCGAAGGACCGTACTCGGTAGGAGACTGGGGTCAGAAAGACCGTTGTCTGGTTATGGAGGTCGGAAGGACCATTGTAGGTGATGGGGGTCGGAAGGACCTTAGTCGGTAGACAGTATGAGACCAGGGTCTGAAAGACCGTAGTAGGAGCGCGGTACTTCGGGAGAACTCTCGGTGTCAAGTGGTGGCCCGGAAGAAGTCTGGGCGTCAGGTGGTGGCATGGTGGAGCTCAGGGCCTCAAATAGTGGTCAGGTGGAATTTCGGGCTTTAGGTGATGGCCTGGTGGAGCACAGGGCCCCAAGCAGTGGTCCGGCGGAAGTTCGTGCCTCATGTGGTGGTCCGACAGAAGTTCGGGCCACAGGTGGTGGTCCGACGATCAACGGTGTCAGGCGGTGATCCGGCGAAGGTGAGGGCCTCAAGTGGTGGTCCGACGGAGCAACAAAGACAGGCGGTGGTCCGGAGAAGGTGAGGGCCTCAAGTGGTGGTTTGGCGGAGCAATGCCGTCAGGATGTAGTCCGGCGGAGGTGAGGGTCTGTAGTGGTGGTCCGACGGAGCAATGGCGTCAAGTGGTGGTCCGGTGGAGGTGAGGGCCTCAAGTGGTGGTCCGGCGAAGGCTAGGGCCGCAAGTGGTGGTCCGGCGGTGGTCGAGGAGGACCTTTTTCCTTCTCTTCTTGCTTAAATCCCTCCCCTTCAAGAGAAATGAGGGGTATATTTATAGATTTTCTGGAGTGACATGACCCATAAATTGGTGAGAGATCAAGGGTAAATGGGGAGTGGTTGGATGGACGGCCGATGTTGAATCCCTTGATTGTGCACCGTTCGTCAGATAATTGAAGGTCTTAATGATGTTGGAATTTGGCGATCTTGGGCTCGTTGGATTTGTCTCGTCGAGCCACTCGATTCGACTATAAGCACGTTATGTTTCAAAACCGTTTGTAACCCAAATTGTGGTTCAAAGTTCAAACTCTCCAACAGCACTTCGGACCCTTGATTTGGATCCATTTGGGCTCGGATTGAGTCGAATTTGGTGTCATTGGGTTCGTAATTCCGAGAAGTTCAATTCGACTGTAAGTTTGCTGAAATCGGAGTTCAATAGAATTGTTTTTCGGTTATGCATTTGCGTTATTCCTTCTGCAAATCTACTGCAAGAGTTGAGTACAATCATAAGGAACCAGAAACACTAATTGAAGGTTTTATAACTGCAGCAAATTGTAGAGACGTTATCCTTAATCCGAAATGAGGATGCATGGCAGCCATTTGTGATTAATCTAAGACTAGGATTAACTGTATACCATTCCTTTTACTCTTTTGTGAATTATTTTGTTGTTATATCTTTCATTCCAATCTGATAGATGCTTAATGATATATTATATCTAGGTCGTCTTACTGCTAAGGTTTGTAAGGCATTATCCTGTCATTCTCATATTAATTTTCTTTGTTTTCCTACTATTAAACTGCTTGTTGCTTGCCAAATAAGCAGCGATAGCGTTGCTGATTCCGATCACTTCTCAAAACCAGGAAAGATTGATCAAAGCAAGTCCGCCGCAGAAGAAAGTCCGTTCAGTTGTAAGCGAAGCTTCATTAATGATGATGACAATGGGATCAAGCACCTGTTGGAGCAGCCAAACTCAGAACCGTTTCAGTCTAATTAACTCGGAGCAATAGCATATCAACAAGACTAGGAGACAAACTTTCTGTTATAACTGCCACTGATTGATTCTTTTGAAGTCTCTGGTGCTTCTTGATTAGTTTGGTTTGGAGTTAGCATCAGAGCAGCACCATAGGAGATGAGCAACCAGAGCACAAGTGTAAGAATCCCGTAACCTGAGTGAGGGTGTCAATGCATCTTTTTGCTTTCTTCTCTTTTTTTTCTAATCATAATGAAAGGATTGTTATTCGGTTTTTGCTCGGTATTTTGTTGGTATTGCTAGGTATTGTTTGATAATAACGAGGTATATCGTTATGTGAAGATCAATACCGAGTAATACCGAAATACCGAGTTTTTCTAGAAAAAACTCGGTATTTTTTGGATTATCGGTATTGCTCGGTATTTTGTCTTCACATAATGGTATTTCTCGTTATTGTTGGTATTGCTCGGTATTTCTCGTTTTGTTCCTGCGATCTTAGTGCCGGCCGAACGTAGCTCTAGCTCTACGTACATTAACCAGACCAAATAAAAGTTCTAGAAGTTGAGCCGCTGAGGTTCGTCATCTTTCAGAACGGGTAGAAACTATGAAGTCCATTTTTATCTGTAATTCAAAGAGGAGCAGTATTGATAAGTGGCTACCTTCGCATTTGTATGGAATGAAGTTTAAAAAAATTATATGATTTTAAAAAAAATTTAGCTATTTTATAAACATTTTTTATTACTTTTGAAGTTTAAAAGAATTATATGATTTTTTTAAAAATTGAATTAACTATATAATTATATTATTTTATTTCAAAATATGTGAATTCATTAAATATTTACATTCCTTTTACCTCTTCCACCCTCCGTCTACCAAACTTTTATTACGTTCGGTGCAAGGACGTAGAAGAACGTCCGGTCGGAGGCAATTTTTCATCCAAAAATTAGGTATTTGCTTGGTACAACTATGTATTATTTGATAATAATGAAGAATACCGTTCTCTGAAGACCAATACCGAGTTATATCGGGCTTTACCGAGCAAATACCGAGTTATACAAAAGTTGTACCGAGTTTTTTTCTCCAGATTCAGGTAGTCAATCGTCCTTTATGTAATCAGTAAATTTTGCATTCAACTGATAACAGTAAGATGACCTTTTGAATGTATACGTGATTTGCAACTGACGCAGTCTATCAACCAAAGGATCTCCAAACCTTTTAACAAGCACATTACAAACTTCTCTAAAACTCGAAGTCCTGCATCGGAAATGAATCTTTGGAGTATATCCCTGCTTAAAATCAATCGTTAGTACTGCTATTAACTAATACCGAGCAATACTGACTCCTAGTATTGCTCGGTATTGTTCGGTATCAATCAATACCGATCAGTACAAAGCATTTAGATTAGCCTATAAGTACTATTAAGGAAGAATACCGAGCAGTACCGAGTATTATTAATGCTCGGTAAAGCTCGGCATCGAGTTGCACCGGCCTGTTACGTGCCAATAGTGGACTCATACAAGCAATTATAAGCAAATACCGAGCAGTACCGACTATTAGTGCTGCTCGGTGCAGCTCGGTACAGCTCGGTACCGAGCAATACCGTTTAATTTTTATGCTCGTTGCGCATCGGTACCGAGCAGTACCGATCAATGCTAAACTCATTTTGTTCTTTCATGGCAGTACCGCTAGGTAAACCCTAACCCTAAATACCACATAAGAAGAATAGTGCTACCAATGCTAGGTATTTTGCCGACCATTGCTTGCAAATACCTAGCAATACCGACTTTAAGAATGCTCGGTAGAGCTCGGTAGCAAGCTCTACCGATAACTTAACCAATCTTTAACTACCATAATACCGAAGCAGTATTGCTCGGTAACTTGCAAGTTTATTCGTGTTTACAGAAGAAGAAACTAACCTGAGGCATCGTAAATGCGGAGCTAGAAACTTCACTGAAATGGAAGAAGAAGCGCCGGTTGGAGAAGATGAAGGCACGGTAAAGTTTGTCTCGGCAGTTTTTCTCGACTCCGCGGTATAATATTCGGGTCCGTTGTTCGGGCCGTCATTTTTAAATTTCGCACGTGCCATTGTCCCACTCTTCGCCGGGTCGGGTATTGGGTATTGTTGTTGCCAGGTGTCGCGTTATCACGGCTTACCGAAGGTAAAGATGCGTCAGGTGGGAGGACGCAATAAAAATTCGTTGGCTACAGAGAGAGTGGTTATTTCTCCTTCCTCCTGGATCTAATGTTTCCTTAGTTGGTCTTGCCCTGGCCTGACGACTGGTTTCCGCTCTCGGATGATCCGAAACTTGTGGCTTTTCAGATAGGAGAGTCTTGGGTCTTTTCTCCTTATTGGATTCATTTGAAATTTGTGGTATGTATGTAAATCCCCTTATTTTATTTCATTTGTGCCCTAGGCTGACTTCTGGCTTCAACTCCAATGATACGAAGGTGGTAGCTTTCTTTGCTGAAATTGGTGGCTATGTTGGGCTTGGATAGCCAGGGAGGGAGAGAGAATAGTCAGCTCTCCATCATCTCCTTGGATCTAACGGTTCTTTAGTTGGTGTTGCCGTAGCCTGATGACTGGCTTCTTCTCTCGAATGATCTGAAATATATATGAGAGAGAGACGTGTTATGTATGTAAAGACCCCTTATTTCATTTTTTTCCCTAGCCTGACTACAAGCTTGTTCAGTGTGCAGTGTGTAATTTAGGTGTCACGGTTTAGGGTTTAGGGTTTATGTTGGCGTCGATCTTTGGACGGTAAATTTCGTTCGGCCTCCACACAGAATAATTTCTCCAAAATTTCATTGTAGTCTGAACTTAAAGTTACTCCGGACATAATACTTTCTCCACAAACACATTTCTCCTTCATGGATCCAACATTTCCTTGGTTTTTCCCTAGTCTAAAAGCTGGCCTAGTGGCCTCCACTGCTGAATGATCTGAAATATGTGGCTTTTTTGGACTTGGCTAGCCACAGAGAGGTGACTGCTACATGGATGGCCAGGGGCTCCTCTCCTCATGCAACCGATGCAGTGCCACTCCTCAGTTGTTTATGTCATCATTCTAGATGTGACATTTTTATTGAATTTGCTTGCTTTGATTGGGCTTTTCAGTTTGCAAACAGTAAATATTTTATTATCATTCACAACATTTCCAAAAAAAATGTCTTTCTATTTTGTAGAGATCGAGGTGCCCTTTCTTATTCCTCTTGGATCAAAATATTGTTTGTTGGGCTTGCTCTACTCTCCGGCTTAAACTCAGGAATGATATGAAATTGGGCTTGTTTAGTCACAGAGGGGTAACTGCCGCATGGATGGCCTCGGGAATCTCTCCCGAGGCAACCGATGCAGTGCCACCCATCCATTGTTTATGACTGATATATCATCAAAAAATTATCTTGATTGGGCACAAATCTCAAGGCAAAATCAGATTGGATACTTCAAAAATTAAATCAATGACCATTTGAACTCCAATTTCAGCAAACTTACAGTCGAACTGAACGTTTCGAAAATACGAACCCGATGACACCAAATTCGACTCAATCCGAGCGCAAATGAGTCCAAAACAATAACACAATTTCATTGTAGTTCGGACGAGGTAGAGCTATGTCCGGATTCCGCACGGTATAATTTCTCCACTCACACATTTCTCCGTCCAACATATCCTTGGTGTTGATAAATGCACTACATCCAGACTCACATACTTTATCGGGTGAGGTGGGGCATTATGATTCGCCATCAGACGTTCTGGTGTCCACACAGAATAATTTCTCCTTGGTGTTGCCCTAGTCTGACAGCTGGCCTCCACTGTTGAATGATTTTAAATATGTGGCTTTGTTGGGCTTGGCTAGCGATAGGGAGGTGACTGCTTCATGGATGGCCAGGGGATCCTCTCCTTAGGCAACCGATGCAGTGCCATGGTGCCACCCATTAGTTGTTTATGTCATCATTCTGGTTGCGACATTTTTATTGAATTTGATTGTTGTGATTGGGCTTTTCAGTTTGCAAACAGGAAATATTTTTAAGTGGAGAATGAGTGCGGCGTTACTTTATATTTTTAAGAATAAAGCTGATGCACAAGATTGTGCGAATTATCGAGGAATTAAGTTAATGTGTCATACTTTAAAACTATGGGTGCGAGTTATGAGAGCGTAGGTTGTGGCGTGATACTAATGTTTCTCAAAATCAATTTGGATTCATGCCGGGAAGGTCTACTCTGGAATCCATACATTTATTGTGAGGTTTGATGGAGAAATATAGAGAGAATAAGGGGATCTATATATGATATTTATTGATTTAGAGAAAGCATATGATAAAGTTTCAAAAGAAGTGCTATGGAGAATTCTTGAAAAGAAAGATGTTAATAATGCTTATATTCAAGTCATTAAAGATATGCATGCAGGAGGAGGTAGAGCGACGTCCGGAGTCTGCACGGAATAATTTATCCAATCACACATTTCTCCATCCCATCTTTAAATGTTCGGTGTCCGCACAAAATAATTTATCTTTGGTGTTCCCCTAATCTAACAAGTGCCCTCCACTGTTGAATGATCTGAAATATGTGGCTTTGTTGGACTTGGTTAGCCACAGAGAGGTGACTGCTTCATGGATGGCTAGGGGATCCTCTCCTCATGCAACTGATGCAGTGCCTTCTCTCAGTTGTTTATATCATCATTCTAGATGCGACATTTTTATTGAATTTGATTGTTGTGATTGGGCTTTTCAGTTTGCAAACAACAAATATTTTATTATCATTCACGGCATTTCCAAAAAAGTTGTCTTTCTATTTTGTAGAGATCCAGGAGTCCTTTCCTATTCCTCTTGGATCCAAAATATCGATAGTTGGATAAGATCTTTGTGTCGCCCATGGCTTATTGTCTTTTGTTGTTGAGTGCCATGTTATGTCTTCTGATCATGGAGATGCGGCCATTGTGACGATTAGATAGATTTTGTGGATTGTAAATCCTGTTGCTATCAAGCGATCATACTGAATTTTGGGCTTGCACTTGAAAATGCACAATTGATTTCCAATTGGTTGCTCCTGTGGTTGTCGATATTGTTTGATGTTTGCAAATATTTTATGTTCCTCTGCTTTCCTGCTCAAGTTTTATAGGGAATGAACTTACCTAAACATAAATTCAAATTGCTCAAGCTTAAGCTCATTTACACCTAGTTGCTCAGTTGTATTATTTATTAGTTATCTTTGTCCCTGTTATTTTGGGTTGTCAGCGAACCATATCATTATTCCAAGTGAACAATGTCACACAATATTTTTCTACATCGCTTGTGGTGGAAGCTCTATTGAAGCTACTGCTATAAAAATGCACTAGCTGTTTCTTACAACAGTAAATTATGATTAATTAGCCGATTTGCTTGATTTTTCTCTATGTTGTATTAAAGGATTAACTAAGCCTCTTGTAATGCAAGCAAATTGCATTTTCCAGTTGCCTAAAGAATTATACTACCAAATATGTATTATTAATGTTATTATTAATATTTTTAATTTAATTTAGTGTTGTTTTTATTTTTTGTCTTGGTGAAGTGCAAGATTGTGTGAATTATAGAGGAATTAAGTTAATGTTTCATACTTTAAAACTATGGGAGAGAGTTATGGAGCATAGGTTGTGGTGTGATACTAATGTTTCTCAAAATCAATTTGGATTCATGTTGGGTAGGTCTACTATGGATGCTATACATTTATTAAGAGGTTTGATGAAGAAGTATAGAGGAATAAGGAGGATCTACATACATATGATATTTATTGATTTGGAGATAGCACAAGAAATTTTTTATGGAGAGTTCTAGAAATAAAAGGGGTTTGTAATGCTTATATTCAAGTCATTAAGAATATGCATGCAGGTTCTGTTACTTGTGTTCCGACACAAGGTGTTTTGACCAAGTATTTTCTTATTTCAGTTGGATTACATGAAGGATCAGTCTTAAGCCCATATCGTTTTGCTTTAGTTATGGATGTTCTCACTTGACATTTACAAGAGGTTGTACCTAGATGTATGCTTTTTGTTGATGATATTATTCTTGTTGATAAGACTAGAGAAGTAGTTGAAGGTAAACTTGAATTATGAAGGTCAACCTTAAAGTCAAAGGCTTTCATTTGAGTAGATCTAAAATTGAATATATGGAGTGTAATTTTGGTAATAATAGTTTTGTGGGGGATTGTGACTTTGGGTGATCAAGTCGTTAATAAGAGTACGCATTTTAGATATATTGGGTCTATTGTTCAGAGTGATGGTGAAATAGATGGGGATATTATTTGTAGAATTCAAGTTGGATGGTTGAAGTGGAGGAATGCATCGGGCCTATTGTGTGATAGAAAAGTTCCCCTCAAACTTGAGGGAAAGTTCTATAAGATAGTGTTGATATCTGCAATGCTTTATAGTGCAGAATGTTGATCTTTAAAAGAGAAGCATAAAATTAAGTTAAGTGATGCAGAGATAATGATCAAAATTAAGTTAAGTGTTGCAGAGATAATGATCCTCGGGTGGATGAGTGCCTTTAGTATTTTTATCCTCGGTGGATGTGTGCCTTTACTCTTTTTAATGGAATGTGAAATGTGCATATACTAGAAAAGGTTGGAGAAGCTCCAGTAGACAAGAGAGAATTGCCTTAGATGGTTTGGTCACATAAGACTTTAGTTAATGTTATTTACATATCTAACTTCTAAAACTTTAATATTATATGCCTACCACCCATAGAACAAATATGGGTGCATGGAATGAAATATTAAAGTTTATAGGATAGTAAGAATGAAATATAGGAGTGATATATTTGATATTAAAATTTTATATGTATGTTAGGAATGTAATATTAAAATTGTAGGTATTAGATATGTATAGCATGAAATAAAGTGGTATGTATGTAAACCCCCCATCATTCTTTATTTTTACCCTAGCCTGACAAGTGGCTTCCTCTCCAATGATTCGAAATTGTGTCTTTGTTGGGTAGAGAGAGGGAGAATGGTAATTTCTCCTTCCTATTGGATCTAATGTTTCCTTAGTTGCTACTGCCCTGTCCTGATGGCTGGTTTCCGCCCTTGTATGATCCCAAACTTGTGGCTTTTCAGATAGGCGAGTCTTGGGTCTTTTCTCCTTATTGAATTCATTATAATTTTGTGATATGTATGTAAATCCCCTTCTTTCATTTGTGCCCTGGCCTGACTTCTGGCTTCAATTCCAATGATCCGAAGGTGGTAGCTTTCTTTGCTGAAATTGGTGGTTTTGTTGGGCTTGGATTGCCAGGGAGGGAGAGAATAGTCGGTTATCCATTCTCTCTTTGGATCTAACATTTCTTTAGTTGGTGTTGCCTTAGCCTGATGACTGGCTTCCACTCTCGAATGATCTGAAATGTATGACTGT